TTCTCAGAGGGAGACAGAGACAGAGGAAGGGAGAAGCCCACTGGCATCAACTGACTGAATGAACAACTGAACCTCACTGGTTTCTGTGACATAAGCTTTAACGAGAGACAACACCGTCGCTGAATTCTCTGCCCCCCGCTCAGAAACTTTGAGCATAACAAGTGTTGACTAGTTTTAGTAAAAGAGTTGAATAATAAAATTTGTATTTGGCAAAATAAAAATTATGTGTCTACTCAGGGTAAAATGATTAGAATTGGGTAACTCCTCCACCACCTTAGAGAAAACACACTTTTGCTCTCAGCATCTGAGGGCTGCTGACACTTCTGATACCTGAGGACATGGGTCAGGAGGGGAGGAGGTCACCACTGAGGACTAGGGTCCTTCACACAAACACTCCGGGGGCAAGGGTGAGGGTCCTGGAAGATGAATTATTTTCCCAACAAATAAACAAGCCCCTCCACAGATAGGAGATTGTAAAGTCCTCGGGATGTGGTGAGCCTGCCCTCAGGGTGGGAGTCCAGGTTAGGAAGGGGACTCTGTCACTCTAGAGGAGAGGGTGTAACTAGATGTGATCTCTCCCTTGTGACTGAGGTGCTGCTGGGGAAATACAATTGTCTTGGTATTAGGATCTCCACATCCATATTCTCCTGAAAGGAACCAGGATTCCTGGTGGGGGTACTGGCCCAGCCTGTGCAGGACTATAGGTCTCCAGTAAGAAAATGGTGGAAAGAAAGGACAATATCTATAATAGTCCTCACCTCGTGGTCCCCTGAAGCATGACCACATGGACGTGAAGGAACATGTTCTAGAAGGAAAGGAAACATGGGAGAAGCTCATGGACTCATAATAATCAGCCTCTTCTCTAAATCAAACACTAAACAAAACCCATCTTTTGTTTCAAACAGCTTATGCCAGAGTGATCTGGTAAATCCCTAAGCAAATACAGAAAGCATACGGCTGAGAGAGCCTGCCTTCCTAGGTAAAGTAAGAGGTAAAAATGGAACCTAAGATCAGGGCTAAAAATTTGTTCCTGGAACAGAGAAGACCAACATTTATGCATGAAAGAGATATAGAATGTGCGTATTTACAAACCTACATCACTTCTGACTTTAAGACGAAAACTTTTCTCATTTGATTAATAAATATCCATTTGGATGGGCACATCTGAAATTACTGGGAAAATTAAACTTCTTGCAAAATTAATAGTTTAGAATGATGACATCTTCATAGACCATACTGAGAAGATATAAGTGAAAATCAAAAAAAGGAAGTAAAAGGGTATAGTAATGTTTAGAAAATGAAAATTACTGTGTTCCCTATTTAATGGCCTTGCTTAGAAAGAATGTCATCACAGAACCTACCGCCAAGGTTCCCCCGGACGCCCGTCTCAGCCAGGCCAGCAGCAGCCTCATTTGCCCCATGGCGTTCGTGCTCTCTCTACTGACCGCCCTGGTGGTGTTCAGCTACGGCCCTGGTGGATCTCTGGGCTGCGACCTGTCTCAGAACCACGTGCGGATTAGCAGGAAGAACTTCATGCTTCTGGGCCAGATGCGGAGAATCTCCCCTCGCTTCTGTCTGAAGGACAGAAAAGACTTCGGTTTCCCCCAGGACATGGTGGATGGCAGCCAGCTCCCGAAGGCCCAGGCCACCTCTGTCCTCCACGAGATGCTCCAGCAGGTCTTCCGCCTCTTCCACACAGAGCGCTCCCCTGCCGCCTGGGACACCTCCCTCCTGGACAAACTCCGCACTGGACTCCATCAGCAGCTGGAGGACCTGGACGCCTGCTTGGTGCAGGCGATGGGAGATGAAGAAACTGCCCTGGGAGTGACGGGCCCTACACTGGCCGTGAAGAGGTACTTCCAGGGCAGTTTCTTCATCTCCCATCGCCTGCACCAAGCAGGCGTCCAGGTCCTCCAGCTGCTGATGGAGTCCAGTGCGGAGTTTGTCCAGGAGGGAGGTGTCCCAGGCGGCAGGGGAGCGCTCTGTGTGGAAGAGGCGGAAGACCTGCTGGAGCATCTCGTGGAGGACAGAGGTGGCCTGGGCCTTCGGGAGCTGGCTGCCATCCACCATGTCCTGGGGGAAACCGAAGTCTTTTCTGTCCTTCAGACAGAAGCGAGGGGAGATTCTCCGCATCTGGCCCAGAAGCATGAAGTTCTTCCTGCTAATCCGCACGTGGTTCTGAGACAGGTCGCAGCCCAGAGATCCACCAGGGCCGTAGCTGAACACCACCAGGGCGGTCAGTAGAGAGAGCACGAAGGCCATGGGGCAAATGAGGCTGCTGCTGGCCTGGCTGAGACGGGCGTCCGGGGGAACCTTGGCGGTAGGTTCTGTGATGACATTCTTTCTAAGCAAGGCCATTAAATAGGGAACACAGTAATTTTCATTTTCTAAACATTACTATACCCTTTTACTTCCTTTTTTTGATTTTCACTTATATCTTCTCAGTATGGTCTATGAAGATGTCATCATTCTAAACTATTAATTTTGCAAGAAGTTTAATTTTCCCAGTAATTTCAGATGTGCCCATCCAAATGGATATTTATTAATCAAATGAGAAAAGTTTTCGTCTTAAAGTCAGAAGTGATGTAGGTTTGTAAATACGCACATTCTATATCTCTTTCATGCATAAATGTTGGTCTTCTCTGTTCCAGGAACAAATTTTTAGCCCTGATCTTAGGTTCCATTTTTACCTCTTACTTTACCTAGGAAGGCAGGCTCTCTCAGCCGTATGCTTTCTGTATTTGCTTAGGGATTTACCAGATCACTCTGGCATAAGCTGTTTGAAACAAAAGATGGGTTTTGTTTAGTGTTTGATTTAGAGAAGAGGCTGATTATTATGAGTCCATGAGCTTCTCCCATGTTTCCTTTCCTTCTAGAACATGTTCCTTCACGTCCATGTGGTCATGCTTCAGGGGACCACGAGGTGAGGACTATTATAGATATTGTCCTTTCTTTCCACCATTTTCTTACTGGAGACCTATAGTCCTGCACAGGCTGGGCCAGTACCCCCACCAGGAATCCTGGTTCCTTTCAGGAGAATATGGATGTGGAGATCCTAATACCAAGACAATTGTATTTCCCCAGCAGCACCTCAGTCACAAGGGAGAGATCACATCTAGTTACACCCTCTCCTCTAGAGTGACAGAGTCCCCTTCCTAACCTGGACTCCCTGCCTGAGGGCAAGCTCACCACATCCCGAGGACTTTAAAATCTCCTTTCTGTGGAGGGATTTGTTTATTGTTGGGAAAATAATTCATCTTCCAGGACCCTCACCCTTGCCCCCGGAGTGTTTGTGTGAAGGACCCTAGTCCTCAGTGGTGACCTCCTCCCCTCCTGACCCATGTCCTCAGGTATCAGAAGTGTCAGCAGCCCTCAGATGCTGAGAGCAAAAGTGTGTTTTCTCTAAGGTGGTGGAGGAGTTACCCAATTCTAATCATTTTACCCTGAGTAGACACATAATTTTTATTTTGCCAAATACAAATTTTATTATTCAACTCTTTTACTAAAACTAGTCAACACTTGTTATGCTCAAAGTTTCTGAGCGGGGGGCAGAGAATTCAGCGACGGTGTTGTCTCTCGTTAAAGCTTATGTCACAGAAACCAGTGAGGTTCAGTTGTTCATTCAGTCAGTTGATGCCAGTGGGCTTCTCCCTTCCTCTGTCTCTGTCTCCCTCTGAGAA